CAGAAAAAAAAAACTTCAAACGCCGTCTCCAACAACGCAACCATCAAACAACGCCTCTAACAAAACGCCAAAAAAATCTGGACACAGCTAGCCGACCGCCCGCAGACGACAAGTGATTTGATTGAACTCACGCATGCGCGGTGCGGTCACCACAATACGTCACAGCGAGATATACATATTTTATTACAACTTTATGGCGCTGAGTTGTTACAAAAAAACTGGGGACTGTAACAAATTATCTAAACAAACACAAATCGGTGTAGTTAAATTACATCTGCTTTGTGAACTTGTCAATGAACATGGGTTTTTTTTTTGGTCTTTTTTATTATTTTTTTTTATTTTTTTTTTATTTTTTACTTTTTTGTTGTTTTTTTTTTACATCGGATGTTTTTTATTTTTTTACAAACCTTAGTTTCGAATTTATTCTTTTTTTTTTCGGTTATAAAATGATACATATAGGAAGAATATCAGCACATACTTTATGTTTATAGATTTTAGTGATTCTAATTGATTTGTTGTTGTTTTTTTTTTTTCTACAGGCTTCTAAATAATATCTACGAAAAACGTTAAAACAAAGACTAGTTTAGATAGGGTTAGAATTCAGGTTCGTGATACTTGTAGCCTAGGTAGAAGCGTAATGAGTTTGAAGTAGAGTAGAATTGAAATGATGAGGGTAGAATAGCTAGAATTGTTAAGATTACGATTACGGCTTTGGTTATGGTTAGATAAGTAGACTGGTTAAGGCTACGATTATGGCTTGGTCATGTTTAGATAACTAGTATAGTTAAGGATAAGAGTAGGGCTTTTTCATGGTTAGATAAGTAGACTGGTTAAGGCTACGATTATGGCTTGGTCATGTTTAGATAACTAGTATAGTTAAGGATAAGAGTAGGGCTTTTTCATGGTTAGATAAGTAGACTGGTTAAAGCTACGATTAGTGCTTGGTCATGGTTAGATAACTAGTATGGTTAAAGCTACGATTACGGCTTTGGTTATGGTTAGATAACTAGTATGGTTAAAGCTACGATTACGGCTTTGGTTATGGTTAGATAAGTAGACTGGTTAAGGCTACGATTAGGGTTGATCATGAGCTCGGGTTAGGTGACAGTTTAGGATTGAAATTTCACTGTTGGTGACACAAATTAAACAAATACGCCGGCCTGGCTTATCAACTAGTTCATTATCTTAATTAACCCTGAAATACACTGTATCTATATCAGCGTAATGTTATTTACCGAGCTTACATAACTAAGACCTTATTCAACCGAAACTTATTCAACTTTTTTTTTTATTATTTTACTAAACCGGTTACCTCCCCGTGGTATTTAGAGATTAATAAGATTAATTCCCCTTTTATTTCATATTTTTCCCGCCGTAAAAAATTCCCGAAGCAAACCAGCTGGTGGGCCGCAAGCGGAGATCACTCGCGTCTTTCTGACAATGCCGACATACAGCGAGCCACGCAGGGAGGCATCCATTGGCGCGCATGCGTCGTGAGGCCCCGACTGCGACTTTCTTTTTTGTCGCTCCCTGGCCCTTCCAGAGCGTACACAACAGTGCCATTAGTCACGGGCACTCATGCGGAAACGTTTCCCGTGTCTGGCTCTGTCGGGCTATCCGTCCAGATATTTGTCTACTTCTAAATCTGTCTGTGTTTTTTGTCCATTTTATACCCGTCTATGTGTTTGACTAACTCATTTGTACGTCTGTGTATGTGTCTGTATATATCTATATTTCTGTCTACGTATGTGTCTATCCCTATATCCGACTATATATGTATTAATCCATATATGCGTCTGTGTGTTTGTCTACCTTATATATCCACCTATGTATGTGTCTATTTATATATTCGTCTGTGTATGTATTTGTCCCTTTATCCGTATATGTGTCTATTTATACATCCGTCTCTGTATGTATTTATCCGAATATCTGTCTATGTATTTGTGTATCTTATATATATATATATATATATATATACATGTCTATTTATATATCCATATGTGTCTAGTTATATATCCATCTACGTATGTATTTATCCCTATATTCGTCTATGTTTTTGTCTATACCTAGATACGTCTAATTCTATGACTGGGCTACTATCGTCTCTATATCTATCTAAAGATCTGTGTCTATATTTATATCTTACATTTTACCTTGCAGTGTGTGTATGATATTTTTCAAGCGACCTACGTATCTTTCTATAAGGTTCTATGACACTGTCTATGCCAATGGAGATTGGTACCTAAAGGATTTAAATCAATGGTGACCAGAGTATGATAGGTAGCAAGGTACTAGGGTACCACTGGTCTTAATTATAGGCCCGAATTTTCGAAACCTACACAATCAGCGATGGCCATCATTGAAGAAGTAATGTATATAGACTACTTTCTAAAAGTGACATTTCGGAAATTTCGTCTTCAGCAGTATCAATAAAGTATATCTGTCGTAACAGATTATCGTGAGTTCGAATCCGGGTTCAAGTCAGTAGAACGTCCATGAGTCCACTCAGCTCTGATGGGTACCTAACCTACATTAGGGAAAGTTAAGGCGGCTGGGAATAGAGTGGACCCAACTACCCCTTCGTATGCCGAAGTCATAGAAACGCGAATTCTACTTCGCTTGTCCCGTGGGCCGTCGGATTCGAAAAGGGAACTTGATAGCAGATTCAGTGATTTATTTTAAAAGTAATTAATAAACTTTTTAAAATGATATACTCGTTAGAGTCTATAGTTTTTTTTAAAAGTAATTGATAAACTTTTTAAAAAAATGACATTTCGAAAATACATTTTTGTCATTATCCATGAAATTAAATACAACTTGTAAGAGCGATTGCTTGGGAAGCGTCACGATAGAAATACTACAGTGTACTTGATGAATTACAAATATTTTCTTACGCTGGCCATTACTAGTATCGATATTTTTAATCTTTAAAAAAATGTTTTGAATATCAATAAAAGACCTAATTAGGCTAATCGATACAGTGAGTAGTTTCTAATTATAACATGCAGGTTTTCTTCTGGGTTTTCTGAATGGCCGATTTCATTGAGACAAAAGTTTTGGATTTTTTAAATCCTAAATAGGCCCTACTCGTAGAAAATGTTTTTAAAAGATATTTTTGCGACTTAGTGCGAAAGTTTCGTATAATAATAGAGTGTGATGTAATCCGCTAAATTATAAGTTAATAGAGGTAATGACAAAAACCCACAACCTTCATGTAAACAACGAAAAAAAATTACCTTTTTAATTGGAGGAGTTGTAAAAGACAAAGGTAATTAAGTTAGTGGATTTACTTAATCTGACCGGATTTATTTGTCAGTTGACTAGAAAGGATTAAAGCCCACCCTTTGAATTTACATTTTTCATACAACCATGTTTTGGGTCCTAGTTAAAGAGTGATAACTCTCCATTTTGTCCAAAATATTTAAACATTCACTTTGAATAAAATTTACTTATAAAGATAGAAATATTTATTCTCAAAAACCAAAACGCTCCCTCAACTGACATCCCTTACATTATTTAGTCTATTAATTTGATTTGAGATTATTGTGAAGCAAGACGGAGATACAAAATGGCTATCAGCTTTTGATGGGAACTCTGGAACTATTTTCCTTCGTCCACTTTAACTCTAACATCCACCTGTAGTAGCGATGGAACAAGATCTAGTGTTGTAGGCCGTTACAGGTGATTGAATTATGTTCGAAAGAAAGTAAGAATATTCCTAGAGGTGTATTGATATTAAGAGAGCTAAAAATGTTATAGGTGTGTGGTTTAACTTTAGGGTTGCTAAATGTTGGAGGCGAGTGGTTTAACTGTTATGCTAAATGTTGGGGGCGAGTGGTTTAACTGTTATGCTAAATGTTGGGGGCGAGTGGTTTAACCGGAAAGCTGCAAATTCTTGGAGACATGTGGTTTAACTGTAGGGTTGCTAAATGTTGGAGGCGAGTGGTTTAACCGGAAAGCTGCAAATTCTTGGAGACATGTGGTTTAACTGTAGGGTTGCTAAATGTTGGAGGCGAGTGGTTTAACTGTTATGCTAAATGTTGGGGGCGAGTGGTTTAACCGGAAAGCTGCAAATTCTTGGAGACATGTGGTTTAACTGTAGGGTTGCTAAATGTTGGAGGCGAGTGGTTTAACCGGAAAGCTGCAAATTCTTGGAGACATGTGGTTTAACTGTAGGGTTGCTAAATGTTGGAGTCGTGTGGTTTAACCGGAAAGCTGCAAATTCTTGGAGGCATGTGGTTTAACTGTAGGGTTGCTAAATCTAGGAGATGCGTGGTTTAACTGTTATGCTAAATCTTGCAGGCGTGTGGTTTAACTGTTATGCTAAATGTTGGGGGTGAGTGGTTTAACTCTAGGGTTGCTAAATGTTGGAGGCGAGTGGTTTAACCGGAAAGCTGCAAATTCTTGGAGGCATGTGGTTTAACTGTAGGGTTGCTAAATGTTGGAGGCGTGTGGTTTAACCAGATAGCTGCAAATTCTTGGAGGCATGTGGTTTAACTGTAGGGTTGCTAAATCTAGGAGACGCGTGGTTTAACTGTTATGCTAAATCTTGCAGGCGTGTGGTTTAACTGTTATGCTAAATGTTGGGGGTGAGTGGTTTAACTCTAGGGTTGCTAAATGTTGGAGGCGAGTGGTTTAACCGGAAAGCTGCAAATTCTTGGAGGCATGTGGTTTAACTGTAGGGTTGCTAAATGTTGGAGGCGTGTGGTTTAACTGTTATGCTAAATCTTGCAGGCGTGTGGTTTAACTGTTATGCTAAATGTTGGGGGTGAGTGGTTTAACTCTAGGGTTGCTAAATGTTGGAGGCGAGTGGTTTAACCGGAAAGCTGCAAATTCTTGGAGGCATGTGGTTTAACTGTAGGGTTGCTAAATGTTGGAGGCGTGTGGTTTAACTGTTATGCTAAATCTTGCAGGCGTGTGGTTTAACTGTTATGCTAAATCTTGCAGGCGTGTGGTTTAACTGTTAAAATTTCAACAACAAAAAATAAATGTGTACTTACCATCTCGTGGGGGTGACGGCGTCTGATAAGGACTGACAGAGAACGGATGAGACGGGGCTGTATTGTACGATCCCGACATCCCGTTCATCCCAAACGGGTACCCGAGTCCCCTGCCGTGCTGGGGCCCCGAAAAAACTGAGTCGTGGCTCTGCGGGTGCTGGGGGTGGCCCCCCGCGTACTGCGACCGTATCTGGTAGGCCGGGTGGTGGCCCATGGAGTGGGGGAGCCCCCCTGACTGCTGCTGAAGCTCCATGAAGGCGGACTGCTGCTTCATCATGTCCTGGTCCAGGCTGTCCATCCCGGAAGCCATGTTCAGCATTGTCGCCAGGGGCGGGCGGTAACTGTAGGGGGGGGGGGAGAAATGGAGGGTCATTAATGTGAAATAGAGGGTAATTAATGGAAGGAGGGAGGAGAAATAGAGGGTCATTAGTGGAGGGAGTATAGGAAACAGAAGGTCATTAATGGAAGGAGTATAGGAAACAGAGGGTCATCAATGGAAGTATAGGAATTAGAAGGTCATTAATGGAAGGAGTTTAGGAAACAGGGGGTCATTAATGGAAGGAGTATAGGAAACAGGGGGTCATTAATGGAAGGAGTATAGGAAACAGAGGGTCATTAATGGAAGGAGTATAGGAAACAGAGGGTCATTAATGGAAGGAGTATAGGAAACATAGGGTCATTACTGGAAGGAGTATAGGAAACAAGGTTATGAATAGAAGGAGAGAGTAAATTAGAGGGTCATTAATGGAAGGAGTATAGGAAATAGATGGTCATTAATGGAAGGAGTATGTGAAATAGAGGGTAATTAATGGAAGGTGTAGAGGAAACAGAAGGTCATTAATGGAAGGAGTAGAGGAAATAGAGGGTCATTAATGGAAGGAGTATGTGAAATAGAGGGTAATAAATGGAAGGTGTAGAGGAAACAGAAGGTCATTAATGGAAGGAGTAGAGGAAATAGAGGGTCATTAATGGAAGGTGTAAAGGAAATATAAGGTCATTAATGGAAGGAGTATAGGAAATAGATGGTCATTAATGGAAGGAGTATGTGAAATAGAGGGTACCTAATGGAAGGTGTAGAGGAAACAGAAGGTCATTAATGGAAGGAGTAGAGGAAATAGAGGGTCATTAATGGAAGGAGTATGTGAAATAGAGGGTAATTAATGGAAGGTGTAGAGGAAACAGAAGGTCATTAATGGAAGGAGTATGTGAAATAGAGGGTAATTAATGGAAGGAGTAGAGGAAATAGAGGGTCATTAATGGGAGGAGTATGTGAAATAGAGGGTAATTAATGGAAGGTGTAGAGGAAACAGAAGGTCATTAATGGAAGGAGTATGTGAAATAGAGGGTAATTAATGGAAGGAGTAGAGGAAATAGAGGGTCATTAATGGAAGGAGTATGTGAAATAGAGGGTAATTAATGGAAGGTGTAGAGGAAACAGAAGGTCATTAATGGAAGGAGTAGAGGAAATAGAGGGTCATTAATGGAAGGAGTATGTGAAATAGAGGGTAATTAATGGAAGGTGTAGAGGAAACAGAAGGTCATTAATGGAAGGAGTAGAGGAAATAGAGGGTCATTAATGGAAGGAGTATGTGAAATAGAGGGTAATTAATGGAAGGAGGGAGGAGATACAGAGGGTCATTAATGGAAGGAGTATGTGAAATAGAGGGTAATTAATGGAAGGAGGGAGGAGATACAGAGGGTCATTAATGGAAGGAGTAGAGGAAATAGAAGGTCATAATATAAGGGAGTGAAATAGATGGTCATTAATATAGGGAGGGAATGAAATAGAGGGTCATTAATATAAGGAGGGAGAGAAACAGAAGGTCATGAATAAGGAGTATAGAAATCCGGGTTCAAGTCAGTAGCCCGTCCCTGAGTCCACCCAGCTCTGATGGGTACCTAACTCACGTTAGGGAAAGTAAAGGCGGCTGGGCATAGTGCTGACCACACTATCTCTTCATATGCCGAGGTCACAGAAACAAGTGAACTCTACTTCACTTGCACCGTAGACCGTCAGGTTTGAAAGGGAACTTTACTTTTTTACTTATAGGAAACAGAGGTTTATTAATATAAGAAATATGGGAAATAGATCTTTGTGTAAGGAATATGGAAAGAGAGGGTCATTAATTTAAGCAATTTGGGAAACACATTATTAATGCATCGTAAAGAGAAACAGGGGTTATAAATGCAAGGGATGGGAAATTAATTAAAACAAAGAATAAGAAAAACAGGATAATTAATGATAGAATTAAGAGAGACAAAGGACATTAATTTTAAGAGAGAATGAAATGATCATTTTTCAGTCAGAAAAAAAAATCAATAAAGTACAATTTTTTACGTCTATCATTCGTCATTAATCTTATGTAGACGGTCAGGCAAATAAAATACATAGGTCTCTCTAGTTATTGCGACAGTGTGTAAACTAACACTGTCATTTCATTAATGACATTTGGTCGGTGGTACATGTTAGGTCATACGGTAGCGAGCGCCCGACTTTCATGACCGACACGTTCAGACCAATCTGTTACTCACTCCAAGGTATACGACGAGATGGTGGGACCAGTACGACATTCGTCTGCTGTTAATTCCACCCATCCCACCCACCTCCACAACTTATGCAAGGTACCCGCATGAGCTGAGTTGACTCAGTGAGTTACTGCCAAATCCCTATGGGGCGGAACTTTAACATTTGTGATAAATACCTCTCATCTATACTGACCATCATATTTCGATATATATGCATATATATGGATATATATATATATATATATATATATATATATATATATATATATATATATATATATATATATATATATATATATAGCTACTGCATTATGTTAAATTAAAAATACACTGTAACTATAGCATTAATTAAGTGAAGAAGAGAATTGTTATAAAACAGTTACAGTTAAAAACGCAATCATCATATTTTTTTAAATTAACTCCAACATACTGTAACATAATTATTGTGAATCACACTGTGATTACAACACATCGCACGTATCTATCATGTGACTATTTCAACACTTAACTGGTATCGCAATCAAACATGTAATGATAGACGCACGCCACAATAAAGATAATCTGGTCTGCTCAATAACGAGAATGAGTACCACAATCGTCCCACTTTAAATTATCACAGTTTGAACGTGAGTAAAGAGAAGCTGGTTGACTTCTGAGTTAACTTACCAGATGGCACATAAGATTTTGACACCCAAAACATAATTGCGTGGGAAGAAATCGTCGATGTTACAATTTTAAGAAGAAAGAAGAATATAAATGTTGGTGTAGATTTTACCAGATTTTAAAATATTAGGAAACAGTTTATAAATGTGTTTATATTTTTTTAATTACATCAACTAATTCCTGTTTATAATTAATTTGTTACGAATTTTTTCATAAATTAATAAATTGTAATTGTTAATTTCTGTTCCAGTAAAACTTTAATAAGATGTAGTAAGTCATAGGCTACGCTAAGCAAGAAACGAAAAGGAACAGTGATAATGTTTAGTCATATCTGTCCCATGTAAGATAGTCATATCTACCCCACGTAATATAGTCATATCTATCACACTATACGATAGCTAGTCCTATCTACCACGCATAAAATAGTTAGTCATAACTACCCCACGTAAGATAGTTATATCTACCACACTATATGATGGCTAGTCATATCTATCACACAATAAAATAGTTAGAATAAATTAACTTATCAGTTGAACACGGTAACTAAACAAACATTCTTGCATTTTGTTGTTTAATTAAAGCACTATTTAACTATGTTTTGACGACGTGTGCATAATTAATGTCCTGTGGTGAGCACTAAAACGCACGTGATAAATGAGATGAGCTAACGGACAAGCAGTCGATTGACTAGGTACAGTTTAAATGGTTTAACCGACAAAATCGCAACATCAATTGACCAACAGTGAACGCTTTAAAGTTTTATTTGATGCGGATACTGAACATCTATATCTTTATAGTAGGCTGCGTAAATTTGAATAAAATAATTGGCATAATAATTTCGATTTGATGAAGAAAACTTTGTATGCGATTTAAGAATCTCTAGCAGTAACACAAAAACTTTACTTTTTTTTTTGTTAGTTTTTTTGTCAATTTTGAACTTAAAAACTTGTTACTAAATTGCGCCACTTGGATTTTTTATGTATTCATGCTTATTTTTGTAGTTGCCTACATTACTAAATTTTAAAAAATAAAACAGAATTTAATAACAACCTTAATTGCATCAAGGTTATATTTTTTTAAAAATAAAAACAGTATCGAATAAAAATTTGCTTTTAATTCTAGACCCAGTAAATGGATATCCAAATTTTTCCTTAAAATTTGATCCCATTTTTTTTTTAAATATTTAGAACTGATCACTTAACAATGTATCGATACAATTCTCAGTCCAATACTTTATGTTTCTAGCCGATATATTTTTGAGTTTTCAGTAAACTTGAACGTGTTTTAACTAACAGCTGTAGTTATTGAAAAGGTTTTTTTGTTGTTTTTTTTTTTATTTCATAACATAAAATAATAAAATAGCATACACAAATCGCAGAATCGCTAATTAAATACTGACCGCAGTTCACTTGTATAAAGCTTCAACTTGAGATAGATTTAAAGACCAATCACGCGATGCGACATTAATTAATTCAGACCTCTTGATTGCATAAGCTCAATCAACTTCAAAAATGGCATTTACATTTTTTTCGCGTGTAAAAATAATTTCAAGAATCGAAATTTAAATTATGTAATTATTTCTCTTAAAACTTTTCCGGCAGTTTTTTTTAACGATTTGTGACGTGTTTTTTTTCATGTTATAGTCAGGGTTAGAATCTTTTCTGGGACAAAACAAAAATAGAACAAATTATGACAATCAGCGTCATACATGACTAGTAATGCTGGGTAAATGGCTGTTATTGTGACGGCTGTTATATGTGTTATAGGGGTTTGACGGCTGTTATATGTGTTATATGGTGTGTTGTGCCCTGTGCCTTGTGCGCGGTGCCCTGTGCCCTTTGATAGCGCTCGGTGCCCTGTGATAGTGCGAGTGCCCTGTGAGTGGTGCCCTGTGTGTGGTGCCTTATGCCCCAGCTCTAACTAAAATTTGTATTTGATAGAAGAGGATGTTTTTATGATACAGGCTAGAGTAGAGGAAGATGTATTAGTGGCAGGTATGTAGTCTTAATGGTATCAGCTGTAGCCAGTAGCATTAGAAGGAGCTGTCATGACCCAAGGGTAGCCTTAATAGTAGCAGATGTAGCTAGTAGCATAAGATAGAGCTGTTCACGGCCCTTCGGTAGTTGGTAGTTCTAAGCGTCTTACTAGAGCG